TTACCCTCTGTCGGTAGCTGTGTCATTTCTCTCTCTTGTTGCTAGTCCATTTCATTCCCATACATACACGGCCGTGGGGCTTCATGGAACACGGGACAGCAACATCTCGCTCCACTCCTATATACGTGTCGCGTCTTCGTCTTCTGACTCTCCTCCAGTGTCCGTCGTCCTGCCTATTAATTAGAGCGCGCCAGGCCAACAAAGCCCTCCAGTGGTGGAGTGGGCGGTGAGCCGGGCGGCGAGGAGTGCGTTGCGTGGGAAGGACGCGACCTGCATCTGTCGGTAGCTAGCCATGGCGGGCACGCCGTCGCCGCTGCCGCGGTGGGCGCCGACGCCGAGCCCGTCGCGGCCGCTCTGGCGGCCCTGGGGCGGCGGCACGCCTGACGCTAACAACCATCATCAGCCCGGCGGCCGAGGCGGCGGCACGGGTAGCACCAGCTGGTGGTCGCTCGCGAGCGGCGTCTTCGCGTGGGGCGGCCGCGGGCGACACCGAGGCACGGCGTCGTCGAACGAAGCAGCAGCGGCCGGTGACGACAGAGCCTGCGGCGTCGTCCCCGGACGGTCGGGGTGCGAGCTGCAGGCGGTGGTGGTGCCATCGTCGGCGGCGGACGCCGACGACCCCAGGGTTCCTGACGTGGGAGGACGTGGGCGTGACGGTGGCCGGCGGCGGCCTGCGCGGGGCGCCCGACGTGAGGATCCTGGATGGGATCAGCGGGCACGCGCGCCCCGGGAGAGTGCTGGCCATCATGGGCCCCTCCGGCGGCGGCAAGACCACGCTGCTCGACACCCTCGCAGGTACGTGCGTGTGTCCGTCCCTTGGTCACGTACCCTCCTCATCTGTCGTCTCATCTCATCTCCTAGTACTGAAAGTACGTCCTCCTAACTACTAGTAACTACCCCTGCGCTACGCATGCACTGTCTCTACTGTTTTGGGCCATGTTGGAGTCTTCTTCTAATTAATTAATGATTAATGACAAAACAATATGGCGCAATTCTATAACAGTGTTTTCTTTTAAAGAAAACTACGGAGGGGGGAGATTCCCCGTCTGGATAGTCAATTCTATAACAGTGTTAGTTAAGAGTATACTCCTAGGGCCACTAAACAGTCATTAAGCTATTGACCCACTCATAGTGAAATTAATGCAAACACAGCACTCTATGTATGGCGCACAAGCCTCCTACTAACAAGTTGTTGGATGTCCGCTAAGGTTTTCATTTTAGAAAATTTAAAGTTTCCACTTTCTATATATGTTTAACATGGAAACCTTGTTGAAATCCCGTCGTTGCTCTTTGGGAACTTTGCTTGATGCAGTCACCCACCAATCTGCAATGGAATTATAAGAACAAGGCTGAGTGTGTAAGTGTATGCTTAGATTTTCCATTTGTAATTAGAACGTCTTCTAGATCGACATCCACCGCAAAGGGGTAAAGAAGACATAGATGCAGCCTAGCTTCCTGATCCCCGTGACAGAGAGCACAAAAAGTTTGATGTGGCTAGCCTGACCTAGCTAGTTGCTTTCATTTATTAATTGATTGGCAAAGCCCCCTGCTATTGCTTTTAAAAAAGTCAATAATAGTGTTAAATTAAGCCAAACAATTTTAAGTTTTGCCAAATTTATATAAAATTGTATATACTAATATTTGTCATACTAAATAAGCATCACCAAATTTGTCACATGCTATGTTTCAATAATATATATATATCTACCTGAAGTTATAAAAGCTGGTATCTTTTTCTACAAATTTAGTTAAACTTAATTATGACAGTTTGACTACAAATAGATTCAGAGTTTGTGTATCCTTTTTGGGACAGAGGTAGTGTATAACAGGTGGTGCAACTCATTTGTGTTTGACGTGGTGCAACTCATTCATGTTAGACGTATATGCACATAAACCTTGTCAGCTTGTATTTTTTTAAAACTTCCTCACACATGTGCTAATTTACGACATGGACTTAAAACTGAATGGCCCTGTTCGCTTTACTGAAAAACCATGGCTGAAAGTACTGTTCGCTGATTTGTTGTGAGAGAAAAACACTGTTCGTTCGCTGAAATAGTACGGCTCATAAGACAAGCGAACAGAGCCCATGTTCCATGCAAGATAGGCCTGTTGGTTACTAAAATTGGGAGTCATGCAGTTCTTCGCGTCAAATAGATGGTCGTTTAATTATTGTCTTGGACTTTAGTTGTGAACTTGTAATGAGTTTATTTCTTGGTGTATGTGTGTGTGTTTTTGTTTTAAGTTTGGTCTGATGCTTCTTTCTTGAAAGAAGTTGAAGCCGGATTTTTCCATTATCTAAGAAAAATGCAAGATACGTATATGAGGTCCTTTGTTTGGACATGCATGTTTCATTCGAAATGGTCTCCCACAGATACAGAGGGGGAATTAAACAACTTGCGAGCTTAAAACACCAGCACTCCATACCATGCCAAGTAGTACCAGGACTAAGCAAAATACTACTCCACCCATTTCAAATTATAAGTCGCTTTAACTTTTTTGGTTTATCCATTTTACTATGTATCTAGACATATTATTATATCTAGATGCATAGGAAAATAGATGTACTAAAAAAATCAAAGCGACTTATAATTTTGGAACGGAGGGAGCACAACATAAACCAAGATAATGTTACAAAATCTACGCAGAAGTAGTTGCAACCATATATAGGCCATGTATGCTCCCATCATGGAGTATTAAATATAGACTAATTGCGAAACTAAATGCACAGATTGAGATTAATTTGCGAGACGATTTTTTAAGCCTAATTAGTCCATGATTTGACATTGTTGTGCTACAGTAAATATATGCTAATGATGAATTAATTAGGTTTAATAAATTCGTTTCACGGATTACTGAGGACTTCTGTAATTTGTTTTATTATTAGTATCAAACACTCGATGTGACACCCCATATAATATTAAATGTGACACGTTTCGTGGATTCAAACCCCCCCACCCCCACCCCCACCCCCCACACACATGTGCTACAGTAAATGCGGATTACCAGGTTGTTCACAGATCCTTGTGCTAGTTATGCAAAGTCGTTATCTGAATGTGTGGGGTTGTTCACATGTCCTTGTGCTAGTTATGCAAAGTCGTTATCTGAATGTGTGGCATATGAAAACCATAGTTTCCTACTTGATGGCAGCACAATTAGTTACACAAATTTCCTTCTTTCCGTGTCATGTTAGCTGGAACCCAACAATTAATATCACTGTACCCCTATTTGCTTTAACGACTTCAACTATATTTTCCTCTCACAACAAATCAACCTAAATATCAACGTAAGTCAAATCTCAGAACCTGACGTGCGTGCGCGTGCTCAGTGCTCACACTGAGAATGAATAATGAATGGCGTAGGATCCATCGGAACATATATCCCGGCGCGCTGCCGTCCAAATTAATGCTTCCACTTCCGCAACAACTTGGCATTGACAGCATTAATTCCGATGGATCGTACACTATTCATTATTCATTCTCAGGTGTGAGCACTGAGCACGCCCACGCACGTCAGGCTCAGCAGAAACCTTCTGTTGACGTACATGCCGGCCGGCCGGCCCATTCCCAGTTCCATCACCCATCCAAACAAAACATTGCTAGCTACTCCTACGTGAAGGACCACCCTACCCTACCTACTCTTCTTTTTTTTTGAAAGAAAGGATAAAAGACTTGCTTTAAGTTTGATCATTCTTCTTCTTTTTAATTGTGTAGTCATGTAAGTAGTTCTTTTTTATACACTATGTGTAGATAATTTGGAATGGATAGAGTAATTAATTAGCTCAAATAACTTTATACTCTTACTACTGATTGCAGCCATGAGCTATATTTGATTTGTGAGTCTAATGAAAGTCCACGTGCATGTTTATTTGTGGTTGTTCACCTATCCTTGTGCTAGTTATGCAAAGTCGTTATCTGAATGTGTTGCATATGAAAATCATAGTTTCCTACTTGATGGCAGCACAATTAGTTACACAAATTTCCTTCTTTCCGTGTCTTGTTAGCTGGAACCCAACAATTAATATCATTATACCCCTATTCGCTCGAACTACTTCAGTAGTATTTTTCAAATAAACGAACAGTATTTTTCTCTCACAACAAATCAAGATAAGCATCAAAGATAAGCCAAATTTCAACGAAAAACGAACAGGGCCAAATGCGGGAAGAAAGGGTATAAGTGCTCAAACTGTCAAAGCTGCAGTTATGAAAAAAAACAAATTATAACATATATAATCTGCTAACCGCCAAATGAGGGTCGTCAACGGTAATCGAAATGATGGATCAGCACAAAATACTCCTCCTTCCAAGTGTTAGTGCATGAGTGCAGTATGGAAAAAAGATCATACTCGCACCATTTGGGAAAAAAAACAAGGCGTCTTTTGTTTTGAAAAAGTAAAACTTTGGGATGTTCTGATTTCTGCTTTTGAGCGAAAGCAAACCGGAAGTTCCATGTCCTGCCGCTCATGAATGGAGAGGATAATAATACAGTACTCCCTCCGTCCCAGTTTATTTGCACGTCTTGAGTTCAAAACTTTTCTTAAATTAATCGATCATGTTTGGAGTAATACTGGTATCTCAGAACTCTGCAATTAAATCGAGGGAATAAAAGTTCGATTAAAAAAAAAAAGAATGCAAAAAGTGCAGCGAGTCTACTCCACACATTCAGTTCATCCACTGTTGCTTTTTTTTGTCTGTTGATGTGCGGTGAAATTGTGGCCACATTTTCTCTGATAATGTTGTTGGCTTTATTTTCTTGCTGCGTCAATCAACATTGTTTCAGTGACAACAGCTGCACTTTTTAGGGTAGAATTGTAATTTGCCAGCTACAGTATTTTGCCCATTTCAAATCCTAAACGTGTATTTAAATTGGGATGGAGGGACCTAGTAAAAACAGTACTTGAAACTGATACAGATACAAACTGCTCACTCATGCAACTACAGTACTGAAAAAATCATGGCAAGATAGAGTACCTTTGATGTGACAAGTAAGATGCCTCAAGAAAGATGGCCCATGTATACGTGGACGGTGGGCCTGATTCTCCGAGCAGCTTGATACTGATTGGTCGATCATCAGCCTTTGCACTGCCGCATCGCATTCACCACCGGCATGTCACGGGAGGCTGGTGAACTGTCTACTCCGTATAACATTAACAGTAGGGTGTGCTTTTAATTAATTTGCAGAGACCTCCATCTGTCCCGGATGATCTAGTCTAGATTCTCCACCAAACAGGTTTAATTCATGATTGGAATAGTCCTTCCATTCACTGTAGTATCATGTTTTTTTTATTGTTTCATGCATGCATTTAGAGGAAACATAATCATGCATAATACAGGGAGTATTTGTGTTGGAAAAACAGACGAATGCCGCTGTCTGTCTCTCTTTTTCATTATTTATTTATTTATAAGTCAACGGCTCATAAAAAATAATATTGTCATTGCACCATATCGGATGAATGAAAATGGAAGCCACTAGACACTTGGTTTTTCGTTACTGTGTGTGTAACCCTTGACGTTATTACCATTTCACTGCAGGAAGGTTAGGACCAGGCATGAATAAAACAGGGCTGATTTTAATCAATGGCCGCCTTGAGAAGCTTGCCTATGGAACCTCGGTAAGGCAAAATCACATCTTTCTCTCGTAAACACTGATTGCAGAGGCTGTCATAGTTATTAGACAAATTTTCTCAAGGGCATCGTTCTTATATATAACTTTTAAATTGTTGAGTACCATTATGAAAACGTGAATCTTTATTTGTGGACACCGTAACCACTAAAATATAACCATTTATCCATTATCACCAGAGAGGTATGAAATGCCTCTTTTACCCTTCATATGCTATCTTCTTTCTACTCTTTTTACCTTTTCTCCTACCGGGCGCCCTCTCCCCATGGTGCTAGTGGCCGGATGCCGCGGCTACTCACCTTTGCGCTAGCAGCGGCGCACCACACTTCTAACTCCCACATTGTTGAACACGCATTGGCGAGCTCTGCTGCTTGCTTTGACCGAGCCCCCACAGCCGCGGCTTTGCCTTGCTCGCCTTCGAGCTCTTTCTTATTCGTGGGTCACTATGCTTGCGCTCCGTGTGCCAGCATCCTACGCACCACTCACCTATCCAACCCCCCTCTGCTGCTCCACCCTACTCATCGTTGAGCTCTACCCCATGTGTGGGTTACTACACCTATGCCCCACACGCCGGCGTCCTCCACCCCACTTGCTGGCCTAGGTTTCGCTACCACACCTCCATCCCACTCACTATTGAGCCCTAGCCCATGTGTGGGTTGACACGCCACTGCTTTATGCGCCGGCGGCCTTTTCCCTACTTGCTAGCGGCGAAGCCCCACAGTGGCACCTCTAGGCTATGCATCGGTCTCCGTGCCAATAACAAAGCTTCAACCCACGTGTCATATGTCGTACACCACCATTTTAGCATCTTAGCTCATCCTCTCCATGGCTCTATCATCAACCTCTAGGAGCAGAGAGAGGGGGGTTGCTCTAGCATATCTTTGGCGGGTGTAGATAGAGGGTAGAGGGGAGGAAGGTAAAGTGGAGGACAAAAGAGACATTTTATACCTCCTCTCTTTATATGATGTTATTATTTTAATAGTTGCAATGTCTATGAGAAAATTTATACAATTTTGTAATGGTAATAGACAAATTTAAGAGTTACATGCCTATATCAGCAAATACCCCGTGAGAAGGTGAGCAAAATTTGTCTAATAATTATGAATGGTTGTTTCGAAACTTTTACATAAGCGGAATAAATCTCCTTCCTCTAAAAATGTTTTCCTATAGACACTGATTGCAATCTTTTTCATTAAGTTGGTGGTTTTCTGTTCCCTTCTATTGTCATGCGTTCACTTATAATTAGCACAAACTCCTACTCGATCAGTTCACTTATATTCAGTACATATGTATTTCATTCAATCCGGACTTGCTTACAAGTTTACTTTTTGAATGAATAAAACTGTATGTAAAACAAAGGCATACGTGACCCAAGACAACATGCTGATGTCGACGCTGTCCGTGCGTGAGGCCGTGTACTACTCGGCGCAGCTGCAGCTGCCGGACACGATGCCGTTGCCGGAGAAGCGGGCGCACGCAGAGCGGGTGATCCGGGAGATGGGGCTCGCCGACGCCATGGACACGCGCATCGGCGGCCGGATCACCAAGGGCATCAGCGGCGGGCAGCGGAAGCGGGTCAGCATCTGCATCGAGATGCTCACGCGTCCGCGGCTGCTCTTCCTCGACGAGCCCACCAGCGGCCTCGACAGCGCCGCTTCCTACCACGTCATGAGCCATATCGCTCGTGTAGCCGCCCGCGACGGCATGACGGTCGTCGCCGCCGTGCACCAGCCCAGCGGCGACGTCTTCGAGCTCTTCCATGGCCTCTGCTTGCTCGCCGCCGGAAGGACGGTCTTCTTTGGGACCATCTCTGATGCCACCGAGGTGACCCTGCTTCGTCGTCTTCTTCAGGCTATCTGAATAGCGAATTGTCAGCTGCTGACTTGTGCTAGCTCGTTCCTTGCATGCATGCAGTTCTTCACTCTGAACGGCTTTCCATGTCGACACCTGAGAAGCCCGTCAGATCACTTCCTGAGAACAATCAACAAAGACTTTGATGAGGTATATATACTCACTCCTATGGCTTATTTAGTACATATATATAATGTGCAACTTCACTTGTCATCTGTCTGAAATGATTTTATACATAGGAAACCGTGGAGAGCTCTAAAACTAAAAGAAAAACAGCAGCTGAAGCAATAGACATTCTGGCGACTGCATACAGATCCTCCGATTATTTCGAAAAAAAAACGACAGACCAAATTGTTGAAATGAAAAACATGGTAAGTTGAGCACCCGTCGCTACTAGAAACGAGAATACCGGTGTGACGAGTCTTTTCGACCGTTGTTCAATAAACCAACAGGATAATTGTAATAGGTTTGACGGTGACATAATATCTAATACACATGAAAAAAAACCAGTGACTATAAAGAGCAATAATGAGAAATGTATAATTGACCAATCTAAGGATATTTTGACTGCATAAAAATTACAGGATGTGTCCTATATGTGTATTACAGGATGGAGCTTCATTTAGGAGGAGAGAACAAGCAAGCTTCGCCACAAAGCTCCTTGTGCTCACAAGGAGATCATTCCTGAATATGCACAGGGACATAGGATATTACTGGATGCGTTTGGCCATCTATATGGGCATCGGCATATGTCTAGGCACTATCTTCTACCAAGTTGGCTATAGCTACAGTTCTATCCAGGTACAAACTGATTAACATGATTCAGGTAGGGCTATATATAGGACAAATATTTATTTGTCTATGTAAAAGTGATGATGTCTTGGAATTTGCAGAGCCGATGTTCAATAATAATGTATACAGTTGCACTTTTTTAACATTCATGGCTATTGGAGGATTTCCATCTTTTGTAGAAGACGTAAAGGTTGACTCTTCACCCTTCCAAAAGTTGCTTATTTAGTTTCTTGCTCAAGACAAATTTATTCAAAATTACCATGAATTAACTTTCTGATATTGAAAATAAACAATACAAAATGTGTGGGATCCACTCATTTTGTATTAGGAGAAACTCTAAGATGTAAGAGGGACCATACATAAACTTTTTTTGGGGGTGTGTGTGGGGTGGGGGTGGGGGAAGGGTTCTATTTTCCAATATGAATTGCTACACTTTTACCTTTAAATTCTAAACCAATTAGTGCAAGTGAAAAGTAAGTTCAATTTTTTATTAGCACATTATTGCTTCCGGTTTTATGACCTCAATTTTAGCACATTTTTAACTACCACCACCATTCCCAACTTGTTTCAGGTCTTCGAAAGGAGAGGCTTAGTGGCCACTACGGCGTGTCGAATTTGTGATCTCAAACACCCTCTCAGCTACTCCATACCTGTCTTGTCATTGCTGTATTACCCGGAGCAATGCTATACTATCTCTCCGGACTAACAAAAGCCGTGGATCACTTTATCTATTTCGTCATGGTCGTTTGCATATGTTGCCTTCTAGTTGAGAGCATGATGATGGTTATCGCCGCGATTGTTCCGGACTTCCTTATGGGAATCATCGTTGGAGCTGGAGTGCAGGGGGTGATGATGCTCAATGGGGGCTTCTTCCGCCTTCCTAATGAGCTCCCAAAGCCTGTATGGAAGTACCCTTCCTACTACATCTCCTTCCACAAGTATGCAGTGCAAGGACTCTACAAGAACGAGTTCATGGGACTGTCATTCCCAAGTGATCAGCTGGTTGAGTCTAATGTCACCATCAGTGGCATTCAGGTCCTCAAGGATAAATTGCAGGTGGAAATGGGTTACTCGAAATGGGTAAACCTTGCCATCCTTTGTGGAATGATGGTGATCTATAGGATGATGTTCTTCGCTATCGTCAAGATTACCGAGGAAATTCGACAAAAAATGGGAGGCAAACGAGGATGTGTTAGATAGTAGTTGCCTTCTATATATGTCTTCCATTTTCCCATTCTTGTATCACTTTACTGAACTAATTGTATAAACTGCAAATAATGCTTTGGTTGTCTTGCGATGACATCTTAAAATGGATGATATGCTATATATATAATTTTTGAGCTCCATCATGGTATCCCATGATGTTACCCAAAGAAAACTTTACCATCGCTATGACATATATAGCTCATTGGGAGAGATGAGCCTGAACATGTCGCCGACAAGAGCTTATCGCACGCATGAGCGCGCACACTCACATGATCACAAAGGAGAAAGTTGAACACAATAAAAGCGATGGCTGGGCAACTGAAGTCTTATTTGGATACTTGCGTATCCACCTCAATCCATGTATATTGGAGTGGTTTGATATTAAATTTAGTTTAAATTCCAAGGTCCATCCACCTCAATCCCGAGGGCAAGGATAACAATATAGCCGGTCATTGGCTGTAAGGTTTCTTATCTCTTCACTATTAATACATGGCCCACTTGTCCCTCTAACAAGGTTTCTTGGTTCTTTTGCCTAAGCCGGTTGTAAGCTTACAGCCCGCTTCTCCTCTCCCCTTCACCTCAGCATTTAGTCAACTTACAACCTCTTATTATACTTGCTCTGAAGTAAGTTTGTAGCTATTGTTCATTAGTTCACCAACTAGACAACCGAAAACGTAGCGATACTTCCAAGGTCAAACACGCTTAAAAAACTAGCTGCGGCTACCATTTCTACTAGCAACCCAAGCGGCCCCAATGTGATTTACTTTTATGTCTAGAGAAACTGCCACTATGGGTATGTATGCTAACTTCTATTTACTGAGGACCAAACTCTTGCCAAGTAGTAGTACGAGAAAATTCAACCATGAGGATGTATATGAATGCGTTTTGATTCTTGATAAAGAGGGTGTAGAACTTCCCAACACATATGGCTGTTGCCTGTTGCTTGGCTAGATTTGGATACGAAAAGCGAAGCTTAACTTCTTGGATCATGCATGTGAATTGTGATGAACTTTATTAGCTGGGCTAGAAATAAAGCATACGGGCATACGTCGCTATATATCAATGTCTATGTTTGGTGCAAGTCATGGTCATAAACATATGTGTATACCTAATCTTATGTAACGCGCAACAACACATTACTAAACAAAAACTTTCGAAATTGGTGGTGCATCTTATTATGATACAATTATGTAACCACACCCGTCATAAATAGCGTATAATGTCATAGATTCCTTGCAATCAAATCCTCTTGCTTTGATATAAGTAGCAATCTTAGAATTTATTACCATACTTATTACAAGCTGCACATTAGTAATAACCATATTGATGTCCAGTTCGTCCTATGCTTAGGAACAAATATATATGGAGTACTTACTTGCAATAAACTTTTTTTGCGATGAAAGAAGAATTATATTATATAATAGCTGGGTACATCAACACGTTAAGCGCTTTGGATTACACGAATATCCAGAAACTGAGTCTAATCTAAATTGTACCCACGCTGTGAATAGCTCCAGATCTCAAAATCAAACCTGTACCACGCTTTGCAGTATGGATGACCGCACAGACAAACACTCGGCAAAAGGCCTGAGAACAGATGCCCAATGAACGACGTCCAACATTCATGTAGGCAGAGTTGAGAAACTTCTTCTTTCCGTATTGTAGAAACATATGTGCAGACAGGGACGGATTTAGCTGGGCCCTACCAGAAGCCCTCCGAAATCTCTCCTATGAGTTTTGGACATGGTGAAGTGGAACAAGAAAAGAGAGCTAGAAGAAACAGAAGAAAAAAGAGTAAAGAAGAAGAAAAGGAGAGAGAAAGAGTGAGGTGGATGAGTCCCCTACTTTACTAGGCTGTGTTGGCTGGTGTGTGTGTCGTCGTAACGTGATTACAACCACACTTACGCTGGCATTACACGCCTGAATCTTTCGTACCAAAAGCCACGTGACACTGTATAAGCAAAGTAACAAAAATCCATTCTGCAAAATACACACGGAAACTTAGCGTGTGGCCAAGTGTCAGCACACCATTGGCTCCAGGCCTTCGGCAACGTGTACACCGAGCTTGACTTGACCTTGACTCCATGCCTTTACATATTTGGATTTAAAGAGAGAAAAAAATCATTGAAATGAATCCCAAAAGGTCCAAGTGTCTTCTTGAAAATCAAAACACATATAGCAACAGTGATGGCCACCTAGCTAGCTAGTTGTTGCTCTGACATGATGCGACCCATTATTTGTTAATCGGGAGACAGAGCAAAGGCAGGTGAGTTTCCATGAAACTTCATAGACTGTGATGTGGGTCAGTGAACAAGAGCAGTATGCTTGGCAACCAAGTTCTTAGCAGCTTCCTTTGCCGTGATATTATGTGATAAGCCATGCTGATTCCACGAGTAAGGACAATGACCAAGATAAGGATATGCGTTAACAACAAGAGCTATCTTTACTAATTGATTTATTCCACAAGACGACCATGACTAGAATATTTCTGTTCTTAACTTCTTATTAATGGAAATGGATTCCAAAAAAAACATAACTAGAACGTTAGAAATACACACATGCTACTAGCATATGTTAGTTAATACCGTCAGTTCTCTCTTAGATTAATTAGCTTGTTTCTGAGATCAGTCGTCTTTGATTTGGACGTTACCTAGCTAGAGTTAGATGAATTTATTCTTCCATGTGTTCATTTCCCACTAATGTGTTGACATTTTACTATGCAACATACATTAGTCAATAGTAATGTTGGCACCCTATAGATGCATGTATATCTTAAAAAAAATTAAATACATATAGATATAGCAGTCAGTCTTATAACGTACGTGGTCAAGAGGTCCAATACAAGTCCTAATACGTTATATGTAGGGCAAGAAGTCACAAACGAGCGCTAATAAGCCGCTAAGCTATCTAGACACCCCTACTCCAGCATGTTCCTCTCAGTTTTCAAGTAACATTGATGATACGCGTAGGAAAGGTAGTGCAGGTGTCATTAGATATATTAGTTAGTACTCCATATAGGGGCGAAGCTAGTATTAAATATATGGTGGTGCACAATGTTAACAGCAGTGTAGAAATATGTCTTCTTTCAATTGATTTATATGGTCAAAATAAGCTACTTAATATTAAATATTTTTTCTTGCCTAGTGCCGGTGCACCACCCAAACTCAACGTGGCTTCGCGCCGGAGTAATTCATTAGTAAGCAATGCAAATAAAATAATGAGAAGCAAAATTAAACCGACAAATTAAGAGCGACGTTATCGTCAGCTTGACTCTTGCCGCTGCTGGTAATACACGGAGTGAAGTAAGTGAACTACCAGTGGACACCTACGTGGAGTACGTCGTGGACACGGCACGCACCGCGTGATGTGCGTCATCGTCCAGTCTCGTCATCTAGTCTAGACAGAATATAAATTCGAACATATCCTCTCCATGACTCCATCATTTCATCTCCTTGTCTGTGTATATATATATAGCTAAGCATGCAACTTCAGTCACATGCCACACACATATATCCGATCGAGCACTACTTCTGTACGTGAGCAGCAGAATGAAGCGTGCCAGAGATGACGACGCCGCCGCCAGCGGCAGCGCCGCCATGGGAGACGACGACAGTTGTAGCTACCCTCATCACGGAGACGGAGAAGGCGACGACGAACAAGAAGAACAGGACGAGCGACGACAACGGACTGCATGCGACGTCCTGCTCTCCCTCTCCCTGTCGCGCTGGCCATCATCTTCTTCCAACAGCACCAGCTGCAGTGTCCAGCAGAATGATCATGCTGCCGGCACGGCGGCCCCACCACCTAATAAGCCCCGTCGTCGCCGGCGTCGGGGTACGGATGAGGAGTTCGAGTGCCAGACGTGCGGGCGGCGGTTCCCGACGTTCCAGGCGCTGGGCGGCCACCGGACCAGCCACCTCAGACGGCCGGCGACGACCAACAAGAAACCACGGCCAGAGGCGTTAGTGCAGGTCCACGCGTGCGCCATGTGTGGGCTGGGCTTCTCCACGGGCCAGGCGCTTGGTGGGCACATGAGGAGGCACCGTCTGGGCCGGGCCGATGGCATGGGTTTTCCTTCTGCTGATGTGGACCTTACGCAGATCATCGTGCATGGAAGGCCCGCTACCGCTTCCACCTCCCTGCAGCTTCTCAACCTGTTCGTGTAGTGTTCATCAAGATTAATAAAAAAAAAAACCTGTTCGTGTAGTGTTAGATACAACATGTCTATCTAGAGTTCAAAAAAAGGGTACAACACGTCTAGATGATGTGACCAGTTCAGTGAATTGTAACTAATATGATATGTAAGGATGGTCTAAACAGCATATAAGGTACACTAGTATAGATTATTTATGCTTGATAAAAGGTACTCCTCCATACTGTTAATTTAAGTCGTTTTGGACAATGTTTGGGTCAAACATTGAAAATATAAATTATAAATAACTTTTAAGTTGTTGAGTTAGGAAATGTGAAAACCATATGAATATATTTGTCTCGAAAAGTACTTTCATAAAAATATCACTACAAAAACTTGTTAATCCGTGACGGATTCTTGGTGACGGATTTACAAATCGTCACTTACAGATTTAATCTGTGATTTATAATTTATTTTTCGTCATGGTTGTGTACCAGTGGATATTCCCGGCCCGCTAACTCATGACGATTTTATCCGGATCGTCACAATGTATGATTTTAAATTCGTTATACTCTAGTTAGCCTAAAACAATATAATAGGCCCGCTATCAATATTTAGTTTATAGAAAAATAAAAAATGTGATTGCAAAGAGAATCAAACCCAAAAGACGATTTGTAAAACTATTTGAACAAATTAATTTTGTTACTTTGTTACATGTATATGATGCATATGGCAAAACTAAAAATATTCTCCATATATATGGTGTGGATGGGAACAAAAAAATTCTGTAGCATGTGGGGCTTGAACCCAGCACCTGTAGTAAAGTAGCAAACTTTCTAACCATTTGAGCTACCTGTTCTAT